GTGTGTCTTGTACCCCTTTTACCTTCTCAAGGATATTGCTGGTTTATTACCAGTGTCTCCAGCAACAATCTCTTTCTGGATCATTCCCCTTGTTACAGTCATATACTTTAATATCTCCCATTCTGAGTACCAAAGAGAAGTTCCCTGAAATTCCTCATACCCGTCAGAGCTAAACTTCTCTACTTAGTTTTCTACACATACCACATCCACATTCTCACATCTGAGTTCATCCTACAGCCACGGCAGTCTGCCTCTCATAATCAGAACGTGTGAACTGCTCTGGTCAAGGTGGTCTGTGCCCTTCATGGTGCCAGCCCACTGGACACCTCTCTGCTCTTTGCTTATTCAATGCCCAGTAGCATTCTGCAATCACCCACTCCTTCCTCCAGAAAATTCTCCCAGGCTCTGCTTTCCCACTGGAATCCACCAAAAAATCTGGTTTTCTACTAGAGTAATAACCCAGCTCCCTTTGTGGTTCTTTCTCTTTTGCTTGACCTCTAAACACTGGGACATTTTCTCTTCTAGGTCCACATCTCTCTCCAGGTAATCTTATCAACAGTCATGAATTCAAGACCCACTTTACACTAATGACTCTCACATTTGCTACCTCTCCAGACTTGGACCTCTCCTCCAAGCCTATCTAACTGCCTATCTGATTTCCCCACCTCGACGCCCCAGATTTCAAATTTTGCATGCGTAAAACAAAATGGTTGGTAATTTTTCCCCCCAAAAAACTTGCCCCACCCTACTCTAGGCCCTCTTCACCTCACTGAAAAGTAGTGTCAGTCACTAAGTTATTAAACCAGAAACCTAAGAGCCATCCTTGGTTCTTCCCTTTCCTCACTGCTGTCACCTACCTACCTAATCCATCATCATGTCTTATATCCAAAATAAATCTTAATAAATCTACTGTCGCGCTCATCTTTATCTCTAATAGCATTACCTTTAGCTATGAGCTTTTGAATTAGCTTTGATAATTTCCAAATTCGCTTTCTACCTCTACACTTTCCCCTTCGCAACCTACTCTATCTAGAAGCAAAAATAATTTCCATAAAATATATAAGGAACCATGTCTTTCCTTACTTACAATCTTATACTGACTTCCTGTGGAATTCTACTAAATTCCAAACTCTACCAGGAGTCTCTATATAAAGTGACCAAGGCCTATGTTTCCAGCCTGATCTTACACCATTTCTCATTTTTCTTTTTTGGGGGGTTTCTTTCCCGTTGTGAGTAATGCAACTTCCCAATGTAAGTTCCATGTGGTCAGGGACCATATTCACTGCTGGGCCCCAACACTTAGCACTCTGCCTAGCATATAGTAGAAAGTCAATAAATACTCACTGAATGTATAAACAAACAGTTATAACATGATGTGATATGTGGTAGTATAGGCAGTAATCACAAAGTTTGATGGAAACAAACTCTTGCCTGATGAGAAACTCTTCACATATTTGGGCTATGTCTTTTGGAGTGGGAGTCTGTCAGGATTAGAAGCCTATATAAAAGGCATGAAAATATAAAAGAGGCTGATGTGTTCAACCACAGGCTGGACTATGGGGCAAGACGGCAGTGGTTTTCTGTGCCAGGCTACACATTTTGGATTTTATCAGGAAGGACAGCCATTAAAGAACTTAGGCAAGGGGCTTCCCTAGTGGCGCAGTGGTTGAGAGTCCGCCTGCTGATGCAGGGGACACGGGTTCGTGCCCCGGTCCGGGAAGATCCCATCATGCCGCGGAGCAGCTGGGCCCGTGAGCCATGGCCGCTGAGCCTGCGCGTCCAGAGCTTGTGCTCCGCAACGGGAGAGGCCACAACAGTGAGAGGCCCGCGTACCGTTAAAAAAAAAAAAAAAAAGAACTTAGGCAAGGAATAGAGACTATGTGAATTATGGAAAGATAATTCTGGTGACAGTACGGAAGATCAGTTGGAAGGGCAAGAACTAGAGACAGAGAAACTAACTAGAAAGATGCTGCACTGGGCAAGTGAGAAGAAAGACAAAGGACCAAAGAGCTATTAAGACAGAAGCAAAAGAGCTTGGCAACTAATTAGATGGGCAAGTAAGGAACAAGAAATCAAAGCAGCTCAGCTTTTCACTTGGGAGACTATGTAAATGAAGAAGCCACTCACTGAGATAGAATATCCAATACGGGGAGGTTTTAGGGGAAACAGAAAGAAGTTCCACTTGGGACATACGAAGTGTGAGGTGCGTGGGGACATCCTTGTGGAGATGCCTGATAAGCAGCTGGGGGACAGGAAGGAAAATCAGGGTGAGGTGGAGGGTCATGGATTTAGAAACCTCTCTAGAGGTAACTGCCTCTCTAGAAATGGAGCTGCTTATTTAAGACTTGTGGTTTAATATTTGCTGCCTAAACATTTTAACGAGAAGTTAAACGGAAGATAAAAGAGAAAACACTTTTCGTACACAACTTTCTCCAGGAAAAAAAAATGGGAGAATCCAAACCAAAAATAAAACCGATAATCCCCCCCCACGACAAATTCCTAGAGTATTAAACAAAGTTGCCTTTTAAAGAAAACAGAGATTCTAACTATCACTCTGAGGGTCTTATAAGCCCTTGCTGAACAAGGCTGTACTTAATAATTTTCTTATTCCATCGGTGTTGATTTGGAATGAAAGGAAGGACACTCTGGAAGGAACCGTGTCCAAAGTCACATTACTCAAGTGCAGTTCCAGGAAAATGGGTTGTATAATTAATGCTAACTCATGATTACCCCGGACAGTTCTCTGGCAGCTCTAAGCATGATATGGAAAGCATTCCTGAGACTGTTTTGCTTCTGGGTACTTCCCCATTGCCATGCCTCACCTCATCCCACCACCCGTCCTGGCCCTCGCGTCCCCTCCACACACGCGAGACCAGAGACAGCTGGCCTTTCAGACACCTCAGACCTGGAGATGGAGTCCCGGCTCCCCCCTCCACTCCGCTGGGACGGGGCTGGGACCACTTAGCTCCCCGGCAACCAGCTACCTGGATCCTCAGAGCAGCACAAGGTGACTTCAGCTGCAGGAAGGAGGAAGCCCTTTCTGAACAGCCAGAAAGCACGGGGCCAGCCCCTCCACTGTGGTCTGTGAAGGGAGGGAAGGGACCAGGGAAGAGCTGTGAGAAGGACCAAGCAGGTCTCCTGAAGCCAAAGAGACTGAAGGGAAGCTCCTATCCCCCAGAAGCCACCTTCCGCTCACCCAAAAGGTTTGAAAGAAACGAAGGCCAGGTTTTCCTGCTGCTTTGCCTCCTAATTTACAGGCAGCAGCAGTGTAGGGACACGTTCCATGAAGGACAACAGTCCCCTGAATTCCCCTCCGGCCCCCACCAACCAAGGCACACAGCTACCCATCTCTGTGCTCTATGGGAGGTTTCATGGCCTCCTCAGCAGGGATTTCCTGCGATCTGTGTATCATCTCCTTCCATCAGGAAGGTATTCTGAATATGCGCTATTATTTTAAGGAGCTTTCTGACATAAGGATCTCTCTGCCTTTCCACCTCAACCAATTTAACTCCCCCTTTCCAACAAGCTACACATTCCCTATGTTCAAACTCTGTTACCCAAGCACAGAATCCTGGTTTAAAATGCTTAACAAAAAAAAATATATGAGGACATGTACAGATAAAATGTACTCATGTCCTTAATGTGTATTCCAGAAACGTGAGAGGAAAATGAAAGAGGCTAATTTTGATGTTCAGTTTTGGCTTTTTAAGTTTCCTCTTACTGAACAGAAAAAAATAAGGAAAATGAAGCACTCTCACTCTTCATTAATACTCACTGCCTTCCTTTCAAAGCATGCAGCTCCTGGCATTCTGCTAATAGCTTTGAGTAAAATTCACACTAGGGTAAATCTCAGGTTACATTAAAACTACAATGAGGTATCACCTCACACCAGTCAGAATGGCCATCATCACAAAATCTACAAACAATAAATGCTGGAGAGGGTGTGGAGAAAAGCGAACACTCTTGCACTGCTGGTGGGAATGTGAATTGGTACAGCCACTATGGAGAACAGTATGGAGATTCCTTAAAAAACTAAAAATAGAACTACCATATGACCCAGCAATCCCACTACTGGGCATATACCCTGAGAAAACCATAATTCAAAAAGAGTCATGTACCAAAATGTTCATTGCAGCTCTATTTACAATAGCCAGGAGATGGAAGCAACCTACGTGTCCATCATCGGATGAATGGATAAAGAAGATGTGGCACATATATACAATGGAATATTACTCAGCCATAAAAAGAAACGAAACTGAGTTATTTGTAGTGAGGTGGATGGACCTAGAGTCTGTCATACAGAGTGAAGTAGGTCAGAAAGAGAAAGACAAATACCATATGCTAACACATATACATGGAATGTAAGAGAAAAAAAAAATGTCATGAAGAACCTAGGGGTAAGATGGGAATAAAGACACAGACCTACCTGAGAATGGACTTGAGGATATGGGGAGGGGGAAGGGTAAGCTGTGTCAAAGTGAGAGAGTGGCATGGACATATATACACTACCAGATGTAAAATAGCTAGCTAGTGGGAAGCAGCCGTATAGCACAGGGAGATCAGCTTGGTGCTTTGTGACCACCTAGAGGGGTGGGATAGGGAGGGTGGGAGGGAGGGAGACGCAAGAGGGAAGAGATATGGGAACATATGTAAATGTATAACTGATTCACTTTGTTATAAAGCAGAAACTAACACACCATTGTAAAGCAATTATACTCCAATAAAGATGTTAAAAAAAATTGAATCAAAAAATAAAAAATTAAACATAAAGAGCAGCCGTATAGAAAATCTCAGACATAAAACACAGAGGTTTGAGAGAGGGTTGTAACATGTCATGTTTAAGAGAAGAAGAAAGTATGAGAGAGGAACCAAGTGAAGGGGCGAGAGGAACCAAGTGAAGGGGCGAGAGGAACCAAGTGAAGGGGCAAGAGGAAGGCTGTTTTCATTTTGAGGGAGAGACCAGGTCTCTGCTCTCCTCACCCTCCTGCGGGAGAACTCACAATGGGGAGAAGCCAGGGAAGATCTTCCGCAGGCTGGTGCCGATGTGCGCCAGCACCTCACTCACATCCTCAGGTGACGCCATCTTCAGGGAGATGCTGCACTTCTCAGTTTCCACAACCATCTGCAACAACCAGGTTGGACACTGCTTAATAATGAATCCAATTCCTTCGATTTTTTTATTTTAAGTAATGTAAACTATATACAGCAGTCCCCCCTTAGCCGTGGGGAAACATTCTAAGACCCCCAATGGAAGCCTGAAACCTCGGATAGCAGCAAACCCTATATATGCTGTTTTTTCCTATACATACATGCCTGTGATAGGGTTTAATTTATAAATCAGGCATACTAAGAGATTAACAACAATTAACTAATAATAAAATAGAACAATTATAACAATACACTATAATAAAATTTATGTGAATGTGGTCTCTCTCAAAACATCTTACTGTATAAATTTAATGCCTTTTCCATTTTTTTTAATTGAAGTATTGATGTACATATTATATAAATAACAGGTATACAAGATAGTGATTCACAATTTTTAAAGTTTACACTCCATTTATACTTATTATAAAAATATTGGCTATATTCCTTCCTGTGTTGTACAATATATTCTTGTAGCTTATTTTCTGCCTAATAGTTGTACCTCTTAATCCCCCGCTCATATATTGCCCCTTCCCCTTCCCTCTCCCCACTGGTAACCATTAGTTTGTTCTCTATATCTGTGAGTCTTTCTTTTCTGTTATATTTGCTAGTTTGTTGTATTTTTGAGATTGCACATATAAGTGATATCACACAGTATTTGTCTTTCTCTGTCTGATTTATTTCACTTAGCATGATGCCCTCCAAGTCCAACCATGCTGCTGCAAAAGGCAAAATTTCATCCTTTTTTATGGCTGAGTAGTATTCCTGTGTGTGTGTGTGTGTGTGTGTGTGTGTACACACACATACCACATCTTCTTTATCCATTCATCTGTTGGCGAATACTTAGGCTGCTTCCATATCTTGGCTATTGTAAACACTGCTGCTATGAACACTGGGGTACATGTGTCTTTTCAAATTCGTGTTTTTGGGTTTTTAGGATATATACCCAGGACTGAAACTGCTGATCATAAGGCAGTTATATTTTTAGTTTTTTTTGAGAAACCTCCATACTGTTTTCTACAGGGTCTGCACCAATTTACATTCCCACCAATCACGTACACCGGTTCTCTCTTTTCTCCACATCCTTGCCAGTATTTGTTATTTGTATTCTTTTTGATGACAGCCATTCTGTCAGGTATGAGGTGTATCTCATTGTTTTGATTTGCATTTCCCTGATGATTAACGATGTTTTGCATCTTTTCACGTGCCTTTTTGCCATCTGCATTTCCTCTTTGGAAGAATGTCTCTTCACGTCTTATGCACAGTTTTTAATCAGGTTGTTTTTTTGATGTTGAGTTGTATAAGCTGTTTATATATGTTGGATATTAACTCCTTATCAGTCATATCATTTGCAAATATTTTCTCCCATTCAGTAGGTTGTCTTTTCACTCTGTTGATGATTTCCTTTAATACCTTTTTCATCTTAATTAAGCAGTTATCACACTCTGTGGTCATAACTTCGGCAATTTGAGGTGCAACAGCAAAACTCGCACAAATTTCTTTTTCCTGCTTCACAATTTCACAGATAGAAGATTCGTTCTTGCCATAGATCTTAGTATCCTCAGCATACAAATGTTTTTCTTTCCTTATTAAGTCAAGAACTTTCACCTTTTCTCTTAAAGGGAGCACTTTATGGCTTCTCTTTGGCACTTCCAAATTGCCCAGGTCATGACTCTTGTGCTTTGGGGCCATTATTAAGTAAAATAAGGGTTACTTCAACACAAGCACTGAAATACCACAACAGTAGATCTGATAACCTAGCTGGCTACTAAATGACTAACGGGTGGGAAACGCTGGATGAAGAGATGATTCAAGTCCTGGGTGGGAAGGGGCAGGACAGCGTAAGATTTCATCACGCTACTCAGAACAGCATGAAATTTAAGATTTTTGAATTGTTTATTTCTGGATTTTTCCATTTTCCAACCATAGTCGACCACAGGTAACTGAAACCACAGAAAGTGAAACTGCAGATAAGGGAGAACTTCTGTACTCACGCTGATATATACTAATACAATACCAGCTTCTTAAGAAGCACTTCCTTAAAATAATGCTCTTAACCTTAAGACTGAAAGAACTGTTTGGGTAGAGGGTGGTTAGTTTGTCAGAAACGTCCAGAAACTGAAGCAAGTTTCTAAGGGCCAAACTGCAGATTCAAACAGACCACCACCCCACCCCTCTGGTGATGAAAACTGAATAGCCACATTTGCAGGTGAGTTCTCCTTGTACCAAGATTTCGTCTTGACTTATAAAGTCTGTCATATCCCTAGCATCTAGTGTAAGAATACCTCCTTCAGTGAGCACCGGAGGATAACCCAATAGTCACTTTTTTGTAAAATGTGTTTTAAAAACAAGACACATCATGAGATATTTAAATTAAATGGTAAAACCTTCTGCCTGATAACAAAAGAAAAATCAAGTGCTTATAAAAGCTTCAACTTTTCTAAGAAGACAGGATACTTGGAAAGGATTATACAAAGGGAACAAAGTAATAAAGTTCATGCTAGGCAGAGACTCATTCCTATAGTAACTGCTGGAGATGTCCAAAAATGCTGAACTGAGGTCATATAGCTAGTCTTACAAATAAGTATAAAACAACCTGATAAAAAGGGCAGGTCATAAAAGGGAAGATAGGTTGATTATAAACACGTTCCAAATAAAAAGAACTGACTTCAATCACTCTTTTAAAAAAAAAATACTATTTATTATCTTGGATCTCAAAAATATTCATGTACAACTCAATCCTTTTGATGGTCACTGCATCCAAATATCCTTATATATTTACCTCCTGTTATTACTTAATTTGTACAAAAATATGATGGGGAAACACTACCCTTAATGTGCGACTAGCCAACTGGACTGACAAAGAAGCTTTTAGATTTGCTTTAGGTTGTCCTACGATTAGCTGAATTTTACAAAAATAATCTGTCTTTCAAAGTGTTTATGTTAAAAGAAAAAGCAATCCAATTTATTTGTCAAAATGATGAGATCAAAGAAAAAGACTTCAGTGATTTGAGTTCTTAAAATGTTACTTCTTCGTAAGTACCCCTAGAGGAATCTGTTAACAGGTATTTAATACATACCACCTTTGTACCAGTTACTTGGCTCCCTATATAAAAAACATTTTTTCATCCTAATTCTCAGCACATTCATTCCTCAAGGAATTAATGGCACTGCCTTTGAAATTCTCTAGACAAAAGACTGCCCCGGTCTTGTAGAAGCTGGTCCAAGAGATATTTACCCCCAAAAAGGCAGCAAGCATTATTGTACTTGGAGGTATTTACTGATATGACACTTCAGTGAGGTGTCTTAAGTAAGACTAAAACTGCTTTATGAAATTAGGCTCAGATATTTTATATGCACCTATCTGGACGAACGTATGTTTTAAAAAGCCAGATACTTCGGGATGCAGCCACCTTATCTATGTTCCACACCCAACCCCCTACCTTCCCACCACAGGTAATTATATTTTTCACTATAAGGTACTTTTTCTTTCTTCACATCTAGTGCATCTATTCAGTTCACAGTTTGGGTACGAGTAATTAGTAATTAGCTTATTCTAATTCCACTTAATCTTAACACCTAATCATCCTTAATTGCACAGGATTGAACAGAATGACATGGAAGAAGAAAAGGTGACAGGTGGGAAGAAATGAGGCCTTTAAATTCAACTTCACATAAAAGCATTCATCCAGCCCTGCATAATATGTCACCACCTTTGCATAATGTAAAGAATTACAACAAAGTGATAGAGGTGAGACCAACACAGTAAATCATTTTATCAGGAAAAAGAACTCCCTCTCAAATATCTCTTTACCTCCTATTTCAGCTGGGGAAAAATAGAATGTTTGAAACAATTTTTGCTTAGACAGCTAGCAGAACATAATTCATGACCACCAATACACATTTAAAATAATAACGATATAAGCCCTAGTATCCTATTTAAGACTCAAGTTTCCAAGCCCATTCTGCCTCTTGTTTTAAGGTAGAACCACCTGACTAACCTTTAAGTTTTTTTTTTTTTTTTTGGGGGGGGGAGCTGCGTTGGGTCTTCTTTGCTGCACACCGGCTTTCTCTAGTTACAGCAAGCGGGGCCTACTCTTTGTTGCGGTGCGTGGGCTTCTAATTGTGGTGGCTTCTCTTGTTGCAGAGCATGGGCTCTAGGCCCGCGGGCTTCAGTAGCTGCAGCACGCAGTCTCAGTAGTTGCAGCATGTGGGCTCTAGAGCGCGGGGGCTTCAGTAGTTGAGGTGCGTGGGCTCAGTAGTTGTGGCTCACGGGCTCTAGAGCGCAGGCTCAGTAGTTGTGGTGCATGGGCTTAGTTGTTCCACGGCATGTGGGATCTTCCTGGACCAGGGATCGAACCACTATCCCCTGCATTGGCAGGTGGATTCTTAACAACTGCGCCACCAGGGAAGTCCAAGAAAAGCACTTTTTACTAAACCCCAGCCAACAGATCCGTAAAGTGTTTTTCTTTCTTCTAACAAAAACAGCCAGGGGTGGTTTACCAAAATCATTCTATGACATAGCAAATAATTAACTTATAATTAAAAAAAAAATTTTTAGCATGTACCTCAGTTGTATAAAAAAAGGTCCAAAAATTCTATAACTATAAAACTATACAACTGTTGGTCTCTATTTATTGACTGTGACAGCAAGAGAACCTGAACACCAGAAAGTGTGATGGCAAGGAGACTTGTAAAGTAAGATGAAGGTCTCCCCCATTTTCACAAGAACGAGGAAAAGAGCAATAGTAAAATCACACTTCACAAACTCAATAACACATTCACTCACTCTCACTCATATACCATGAATTGTGTATACCCCCTGGCATTTTATTGAATTTACAAACTGTAATTAAATAATGATAAAAATAGCAATGACAGAGAAGTTAATAAACCCCAGAGAACATTAGAAAAAAAAATGTTCTAATCAAGGCTAGACTGCAAGTGCCACGGGCAGACACCATCATCCTTATGATT